TTTTTTTTTTTACGCTTGTTTCCGTAGACGAGTGGATGTTCGAAATCGTCCACTAAATCGAAATGTATGCAAACGAAAGATTGTTGCAATCGAAGGAAGGGGTTACATTCTCAAAAGGGTTGGTGCAATTTCATACCGGCTTTTCGTGTCAGCGAAGACCATGAATAAGAGCATCGAGTATCACAGATAGACGATAAAGTTGTAAAATAACTATCGCGGTGGTCGTGGTTGACGTTTTGCGCAAAACTCGACCCGACTGCGTGGTCGACTATGTACGACGCAGTACGTTGTTGGCCTCCCCTTTCACCTTTCGTTGCACACCAGAAACACGAGCTCAATTATTTCGACCGATTTTTAATATTTCTTCGGCTCACTTTGGATATTTCTTAGTTCTAGCAATCTAGAAACTATTGTCGCATTGTTATTGTACGACATAGTTATACATTAGAATTTCGCATTAACGTTTTTGTTTCGAATTTCATTTCGAATTTTTTGCATATATATTTGTAATTAATATTACTAAACAGAATGTATGTTTATTTAAAGTGAAACGATACGAGATTAGTGTTACGGAAATCTTTCTTACATTAGAATTTCATTTACTAATCGTTTGTAGGACTTCGTTCCAGGTTTGTGTACTAGAGGCACTAGTACGTTGTATCTTGGATTTTCGCAACAGGTTATGTTTATAGACTCAGAATACGCAAGAAATAGTAAGCAAAAACAGTATACAGACCGACAGACAGTATTCGTCAATACGCTTCACTTTTGAATTGGATCACTCAAACATTTCAGATTCATGTGCGACCTCGTCACTTTGGAAATGTCAATTTTTATAGAGACTCAAAGTTCGGGAGATGTCGTTTTATTTTTAAAATATAATTTAACATTTAACATTGATGTATAATTATCAAAATTTAAAAAAAAAAACGCAGAGGTATATAGAAATATTTAAATGTTATTTCGAATTACATTTTTGTTTTAATGTAGTTCTACATCTTTTACGAAGCAATGATTCTTCGAAAAATTCATAAAATGATATTAAATATAATAATTAAAGTAACAAGTTTATTAATTATGAATCGCGATCTATTGAAACAGAATTGACAAATAATTTGACAAATATTTATTTCGCCTAAAGGAATTATTTATGATTTAACACGTCGCTGCCCCACATATGTGTTATACGGTAAATAATTTTTAATGATGATAGTGAATGTATTGACAAAATCAAGTTCCCAATGCGATGAATAGATGAAATTGATTTTCCTTAAGCATCACACACCCCCTTTTCTGCCCCTTTTTTTTTTAATATCAAAAATAAAGAGCAGGTTAAAGATCTCTGAATAGCTAAATACCACTTTGATCGATAATTGACCTGGACGCCAGAAAATAACAGATATCCACCCTTTGTATCCACGTTCCTTCACTTTTTCTGTTAAACGATTGGTACCAACTTTGGAAAACAAATTTTTACAAATAAAAAAGCGTTTTATTCGACGTATGATATAAAATTAATTAAAAATATTCTAACTGTGGGTTAGACAGCACATGTAGATATATAATAGCTTTTATTTAAGTAACTTCTATCAAGTTTGGATAATATATTTTTTACCAGTTTTGTTTCATGCGTTCACTTCGTTAGGAAGATAAAATAAATTCAAATGAGAGTTAAAAATACAAAGAATGAATTTTTTTCATTTCTTCTAAACTATGAAAGGAACATGTTGAAAATATGGTTGTTCTCTTTTCTCTCTTTTGATTAACTACGTACGCAATGGGAAGCCTGCACTTCCTTTCCCCGCTGAAAATAAGAATTTTTAATTAGAAAAGAGCGTGATACAAAGTAACGCTTCAAAGCTAGCTTCGGGATCAGAATCATACAAATTTATTTAATTTTATTTTTTTCCTTTTCGTTCCTATTAGTATTTTATAATGCAAAGAGACACAAGACATTTTTATATTTAGGAAACTTTAATTTCACTATGTTACAACTATAACTATGAACGATATTTTTCAATTTTATTATTTTTCAACAACGTCCCTGACTTGTACTGAACCTTATAAAGCATACTCGCAATCTCTTGTTCCTGCGGTCAATATTTTTCACCATCAGGATAATTACACTTCATCGTGTACTTTCTCTTATTTCTCTGCTTATATATATATATATATTTATAAAGATGTAAACTTGCATAAAAATCGTAAATCGATAGCCCACTTCTGAACAAACCTCTAAGGAAGCTTAATAAAATCAGCGTGCAGTAGCCAGAGTAATTGAGATTCGAACGGGTAAATGAAGCACTTACTGGACTAAAACGAGGAGGTCCGTGGTGTCGAAAGTCGAGTGTTCGGCACACATTATTCTCGGTTGCGATCGAGCCTTTCTCCCCCGCTGTATCCTTCGGTGCTTTTAGCCGCGGTGCATGACCCAGCTTTCTGGTCCCGTTTGATTTGATGGTGCGCTCTTTGTTGGCTGTGGACCCTGATACGCGTGCTGCTTTTATCAGATGCATCGCGCCGACGCGATGAAACACGATGAATCCGGCAATCAAAAGAAAGTCGGCTAGCAGCCGGCTCTATCGACTGCTTTAATCCTTTTTTCCGTAGAATGCAATCGCGACGGATGTAAAGAGCCTTCAACGCCGGTTTCAAAATAAATATTCACCCTCGAAGGGAAACGGGAGATAATTAGACTGCGGATTCATTCGAAGTACACGCGTTTGTTAATGCAAAGTCATATAAAATATTTGGAATGTAATGTTTCGTATGATATTTAATAGATAAAACAAAATTCTGCCTAAGTTTCATTTTAATTGTTAGAAGTGACGCGTGATATATTACGTGTATTATATTTTATTAGTATAAAA